AATAAAAGCATTTATTTTATTATGAGTGCTTTTATTACACGGAAAACTTATAACATGCATCCTTAAAGCTGGTTTGCATCTTCACATACTTGATCAGCAACATTGCCTCCTCCTTGTCTCCAGTAATGTTCCACAGAATGGCTTTAAACTTATTTACCTCTATGGAAAATGTCCTAAAGTTTTGCTTTCTATCTACATGACAACGTGCAGGTGGCGTGCCTGTCACCAGGAATCTCATGCGGTGCTACTTAAAAGTGTATAAAGTGATTAAATAAATTAGCAATGTTATAATTTAACACAAGGACACTTCAATAAGGCAAAAATATACTGCATACGTGCCTAGGTTTTGTATTAATTAAAATTGTCTGTATCATTTACATCTAATAATGCTGTTGGCATTTCTATTTTAGAGTTGAGTACATTTTAATTAAACCAAAGCGCTAATTCACATGTTAGCAGTTTTAATTTGAACCTCTACACTTTGTTTTAGCTATCCAAACAAATGACTTACAACTAATGAGCTTTCAGCACTTTGCACTTTGCTTTATTTGGTTTCTTGTTAACAACCATGGCTATACCCTAGTCACAGGTTAAGTATCATAACTGCTATAATAGATATGCCAATTATTATATACAAAACAACCAACAGCAACAGTTTCATTGGATATGCATTGCTTTGCTTAGAATGTTTCACAGTATGACAAACTTATTTATCTGTATGGAGACAGGCAGGTGACACCTTTAGAATCTGTGGAGAGGTAAGCCCGCTCACAGTAAGAATACATGTTTTTTCGATTTTTTATTTTTCTTTTTAGATTTTTAGCAATCAAAACACATGTAACTGACTAAATACAAAATAGGTACTGCACTTAAATTAATGATGTACTGGTAATCTTTGTAATGTGATTAATGTGATTTTCTAGGATACTCAAATATAACCTTGGTGTTAATGAACTCTTGTAGAAATTTAGAATGAATGGGGAGAAATGACTGTATTTACTAATTACTTTAATATACCACACACAAAGACAATACAGTGAGCACTGAGTGACTGTGCTAGCCTTATATAACGCTTTAATTTGCTGGTGACAGACAAACGCACGTCTCCATAGAGAAGTGAGGGGAGTCAGACAGAAAGCCTGTCTGAGAGAGCGGAGGTGAGGCAGCGGAGGAGTGCGGCTGTAGCAATAATCATCTCTCAGGTCAACAGTAATTACAAAGAGCAGAGCACAAACACCAACACACTGTTCCACTTTCACCTCTGTTTTCATCTGCTCCCATTTACTCTGCCACCGCAACTCGTCTGGAGAACAAGGAAGAAAAGAACCACTACTCCTGGACTAAAATATCTAGTACTAGTGAAAAAAGTTTATTATTTTTATTCATTTATTTTATGGAATTATTGTAGTCACAGTACTAATAAAATGAGTAAAAGCATAAGTAAAAGCAATATTGTAAAGGAGCTCTGCAACTTAAATAATGGAGAGTCCTCAACATCCATGGCGATGTTATTGCTTTTCCTGGTATGTTCCACTGTGTGCATTAAACTTATCTTCATTGGGCCAATGTCACCACCAGGACATGTTAAAGGTCAATGCATGTTTTCGAAGGTATTTCTGAGCAAGAAACCTACCTATGATTGAATAAATGCAAGGTGGATAAGTTTAATGTCATACTGTGGAAATAATGCAATAACATCTCCAACGAAACAAGCAAGTGTCAAAGTACAACTACATAGTAGTTGCGTAGTTGTAAACGTTACTGTTTTTGTTATAGTTATTGTAGTTGACTTTTAAGAGTAGTTGTAGAAGAGGTGGTATCATCAGTTGAAGTGTTTCTTTTTGGGTAATAGCACACATTTCCGTCAATTATTCTAGTAACAGTACATTATCGGACAAACAGCAAATTTACCAGAGAACAGACTTTCCAGATATAAAATTGCACTTTATATACACATATTTATTCCACTTATGCTGAGTCCATCATCCCCCACTGTGACATCTAATCCTAATTAAGTCTTGTATAATGTCAGGAAGGTGTTGTAACACACTTAACGCTGACATTTCAGACACGGTGGAGGTAGGTACTTCTCCAGTGGGTATTTGATGCTATTTTAGACTCTTTGCCCTGAGTTTAGCCTCTCAGGCAGACTCCACCCCCCCGTGTATCTCACACACTGAGGATCGCAGCAGGTTGTTTCTTGTGTTAGTTTGGCTGCTGTAAACACATTTTGTTCCTTAAACATTCATGCTGTTGCAGAATTGGCTCATCCTGAAATGTCGCCGCTATCAGAATAAAATGGTAACGCCTCAAAATGGTAATAACCATAATCATCTCTGCACAGGGAAGGTGTGTTCAGACTGCCCTGTTAGCATCATTCCTGAATGTAGGGTCAAGTAGAAGGCAGACTGCCAGAAAAAACAAACCTGCTTGAGCACACAATTTTACTAACTTCCTTTCAGATCAAGTAAAAGAAAGGAACAAGATTTTTACGAGACAAGGAAACCCTGTCTGCATCTGAGCCACCCATTCATTACAACTTTATAACTTTTTATGGATGGGAAACAAAGCTATTTATGTTACTTAGGAATTTGTAAGCAACACAATAAATTTAAAAAGACAGGCTACCTTGTCGGCAATGATCATTTAGCTTAAATCACAGAGCATTGAGGAGGTAGTTAGTTAGCAGGTCACATCTTTTTCTTTCGCAATAAAAACACCACAAGAATTTAAATTTTGTGCCATAGTGTTGAGCATTCCAGGCAAAGAAACAGCATCTCCATGGAGGCAAACAGGTACCAGACTCACCACCAGGACAGTTACTTACAGTGCTTAAATCTTTTGCATGTTCACTTGGAATCGTTTACATTGAGTGTAGTTTTATTTTACTACCCTGAATGACCACAGAGAACAATACATTGGAGTGATCTGTTCATGATCCAAAAGTGTTACATGAAACAGCTTCTTAAAATACTCAGTAATCTTTGGTTTAGATAAATAAAAAATATAAATAGATATGTTAAACTTTATTAAATGGCACTAAAAAGAAATTGATATGCAGGAAAGTACTCTCTGTAATTACAAAGTGTTCTGAACCTAATGCTCTGTTTTCATGCATCATTAGCTGAAAAAAATAAATAAACTGCATTACCACAAGCAGGTTAAATACTAGCTAATATAACAAAATCTGTATGTAATGTATTCACCTTATCCCACTCCGCCCACTTGTGTTTCTAAAAGCTCCTAAACAGTGTTTTCTTGTTGTGGCACTTCCGGTTAAATAGGGGTCCCATTCATTTCAATGGTGTATTTGAGAAAGGTTTTGTTGCTTAAATATGACATGAAATAGGTTAATTTGTGTAAAATGTTAAATGTTCATGTGCACCAACAAGTCAATAATGCATTGATTCCCTGAGGGGTTTTAAAACGGCTTTATAGTCCATATTGAACTTATTTGCTGTCAAGAGAGGCAGCCCCACGTAAAATAATACAGCTGGAATGATGTTGACAACTTTCGGAATAAGGTGAATAAATCTGCCTTCTTGGAAATGAAGTAAATAATCTGTCCAACAGTCATGATGAATAGAGAATACAACTATTCCAACCAAACTGGTGCAAGTAAAAAGTTAGCCAGGACACTAGCTCTGTGCATAATTAGTCTGTGAACCAGTAAGAAGTGTGCGTAATTTCATTTAGAATTGACTTCTTGCCCTCCATTACATCCCTGCGGAAAACTCTATCTCTGCAGAGTCGAGGGCCCCTCTCGCTTTAATAACAGCTAAACACATCAACACTAGCTTTTCTCCCAATGCCCTCCAAGCCGTTAGGAACAGAATACGAGATGGAAGTTTAATGAAAAGAGCTTTAATAGAAGAGCAAGGCAAAGGTGGCTCAGAGGCCTGCTGCTGTTTAATTCAATGGGATGCTCCCGGTGCCTGAAGACTGGCCCATTTTAATTGCGTGGCTCTCTCATTTATAAAAGGGGAAGTATGCGGCGATACAGCTTTAATGAATCTAAAAGCAAAGGCAGGCTATTCAGTATCTTTCTCTCACAAGCGGAGCAGGCTAATGTGATTGTGCTGCTTAGGCCCACATGTTTTGGCAGCGTGTTTTCCCAGTGACATGCAGACACAAGCCTAAATGTGCTTTTGGAGACAAGAAAAGGGGCGCACTGCCACTGTGTCAATGTGCATTTCACACAGAGAATAATGTGAGCTCTTTTTATACCTGGGCATGTATACACGAGAGATACAGCCATAGCAAGCCAGAGTGACAATTTAGTTGGCACAGTATCTCGCTTTAAGTATTCCCAAGGATGAGCATAAATCATATGGGTAATTTTCTGATAGGACGGGTGAGCTGTATCACGTTCTTGTGCAAGTTTATTCATCCATTCATCTTTCTATTCTCAGTTAGACTGAGTGGCAGCTGGAACTAAACCAACAACTATGAGCCTTAAGTGGGGAAATGGACATGTGGCAAGCACAATAATAAATATATAGACCAACTGTTGATGGGAAATTGAATATTTCCAACATATGCATAGGAAGGCATATCCAGTTCTTGCAAGCCACACTGCCACAATTCCTAATTGTACAATATACCAGAAAAAACAAAGAAAGCAATGATGTACAAGTACATTCAATTTAAGAGACAAGACTGGCTTTTAAATGAATGTCTTTGTTATAAAATATTTATGTAGAATGTCTATAAAAGTCCCTTTGAAAGGAAGTGATGTGATGTGGGAGGAAAACCTCTTTGGTGCATTTTTACCCGTCTTTCCAGAAGTGATCGATAATCTCATCATGACCATAGTTGTTAATCAATAACTCCATCATAGCCTCGCTCAATATCTTTTGATATAATCAAAGCTGCAGCTATCAATCTCACAGGAGCTCATGTTAACAGTGAGAGACATTTGGTAAAAGCAGCAATACCCTTGAACCAGACTTTGACAAATGCACTGGCTATCACTAAGTCTGATCAGAGAGTTAGTTTACCTTGGCCATCTGTGCTTGGACTCCACTGGCTTTGAGTGAGGCCACCGCCTTCTGCGCCGCTGCGGGGCTGTCGAAGTCCACAAAGCCATAACCTGCACACAAGAGGAGGAGAGGAGTGAGTGGAACGTGGCAAATAAGCACACAAGACAAATGACATAGCAACTGCACACATGTTACAGGGCCAAACCACATATAGTTCATGTCAAAAAGCAACATCTAATAAATCAAAGAAGGTGTCATAATGAAGTCAAGTCATCATTAATTTAATGACAGATCTCACAGATGGGTGTCAAATGAAACCTGGAGGATGTGACAGCTTTCACATGAAGTATTAAGTTTTGACTGAGTACTGGCACTAAAAAGTGTAAATTAGCGAAAATGGATTCTGTCAAAGTTTGAGACAGACTCAAATGAATATGAACCTTAATACTTTGCATGATGTGATTATATATGGCATAAATGTTCCATTATGCCGTATTGTCTTGGTAGGGGGGAATATGACTTACTTTATTGTGCTTTAAAACAGTCTATCCAGGGTAATATTAATTTGCACACAGACCTTCAACCATATTTTCACTGTAGTGCTGTTGCTGTTTATGGGTCAGAAATGTTGCAAGTTCATGGCTTCTCTACACAATTCAGCAGATACGTTAACTAGTTACGGATAACAAACAAACCAACAAAACAAAAATTCAACTAACCTCAGAGTCAGTGCCCCCAGGGTCAGTGACTGTGAATTCCTTAAAATCAAATTAAATTGTTGGATCTTTTTACAGGATATAAGCAATAAACAGTATCTAAGCTCTGAATCTAAAACTACTATTGCAAACCAGACCGTACCATCTTGTCAATGCCCTATCTCGTCTGCTTGGAAGCTGAGCAGAGTTGGGTCTGGTTTGTATGGGACTGCTGCAAGACTGCTGAGAATACCATGAGCTACAGTAGGGCAGCGGTGGGTCTGGTGGAAACAGTTGTTGTTTCCTTAGGCAAAACACGTCACTGACATTGTCTAGTATAAATGCGATGTGTTACTTGGGATCCAGAATACACACTACTTCAATGCTTTATGAAGATATAAGTGTGGTCACTGGTTAATCTCCCTATTTTAAATGTGTTTGTGTATAGATGGGCCAATGGTACTGATTAGCTGCCTTATTTCTGTTAGTCTACCCCAGGGCTGCTGTGGCTACATTAGGAATGAATGAATAATGCACAAAATTGTAAATCGACTGAGCGGGAAAAGTGCTATATAAAACTAATGCATTTATAATCTACAAGGTTATATCCAGCTGTGACCCATAGTGAGATCAGTCGCTTCTTTTGGTTCGTGTTGCATTCTTTAATACAATTATCTCCATGTTTTCTTAATGAAATCTGCATGTTTACGCACAATATGGCAAGCACAGTTTCAAAGCCCCCCTCGTCTCATTGCCTCTCGGTACTCCTGCCCTACATTAAACGTAGTGCAGTGTGTGATCTAATAGTGAAAGAATGCCCATGTTTAAAAGTATATTGTAGCTTCCTATTCTCTGACACTATATTCCACTGGCACTAGTGAGGTCATTTTATTCCCATACCACTCTAAATCTGTCAGCATATAATGGTGCTCCTATAGCTATGGTCAATACTATATGCCTCTCCAGCAAGAGACAACAAGAAAAATCCTCCCACTAATGCCACGATTAAAATGATTCAGCGTCTTGTTCAAAGAAATAAAGCGGAGAGGGGAATGGGCCTTCGTCAGTCTCTGTTCTTTATAGGAGCCATGGCGTGAGAGTATGGGCAGTATTTGTCAAATTGTTGATGAAATGGGGATGTGCTCTACGCCCAACAGGAAACGCAGAAGGACAAAAAGTCAGAACACACTAAAATCAATCTTCACTTGCAGTAACTCTCTCAAATGTGTCCTGGCAGCAAGAAACTAAAGTTGCATTTTGTGTAGAAGTTTTAAATGACTTTAGTACATGCAATGAAACAGCATCTGTTATGAGAAGGGTATATGCTAACACAGTCAAATAATCCATATTTCCAAAGCTGTGGTACTAAGAACCCTATAAGTAACAGTGAAACTACACAGACTTGATTCAGGACATCTGTTCTTGTCAACTTCTCCCGAGATGGAAGCCATGTTTTTTCTGATAAGCACATGAGTTTTTTATTGTTCAAAGGGAACAAGCTGCGTTCAAAGACAGATCTGCTCCACACACACAAATATTTATACTTCTGCTAATGACAGACTCATTTAGCCTGACACTTTTTAGACTACAACATACAACATGCACATATTTGTACAAGAAACACTCATGAATATAGTCAGCCAAGAATAAATATTTAGTATATGGCACTGTAATTGTATTCAATATTGACGCTAATTAAGTATAAAAAGTACTCACATGGCAGAACTTTTGCTTATTTACGAGAACCCCAAAATTGGCTATTATTTTTACTGCATGTGTAAAATATAGAAAATAATTCCAGACAATTTGTGCACTTTCCTTCCACTCAACACAAGCGCGAGAAGTATTCAAAACACACTGAATGTTGTAACATTGTTGCAACACTTTATAATAACTACATGTAATTAGAATTAATAAAGCATGGACAAAGACTTAATTCATAATAAACAAATGTATAAAGTTTATAAAGAATGATTCAGGCTTAGTAAGTACTTAAACAATACTGTATCACTAACTACTAACCCTACCATTTTAAGTAAGTGGTTAGTAAGCCTGAATCATTCTTAACTATTTGTTCATTAATGTGTGGTTAATATAAAGTGTAACCAAATACTGTATATTGTTCAGATACGGTTTTATGCCTGCAGATGTCTTTAATTTAAAACATAAGATTAACTACCTCTACAGTACATTATAGTAACTACCAACCATATATGTTGAACACAAAACACCACCTGTGATCATAAAGTATACAGACTTAATGGTTGCAATGCAAAGACATACAGTATTGACTAGAACTGCTGAGTCATCAGGAAGATAAATTTGAGAAAAAGCCTGTTATTCCTCAGAGAAGGCATAGGTCAAGTATGAGTGAAAATCCGCTCCTCTCGGGCTGCAGTGGTTTGAAGGACACTTGCGCTGATGGACAGTTTCCTCCATCACTCCTCCCACACTGACCAACCTATTATTTACACATTTACATTTAGAGCTGCCCTCTTGAGTCGGATGCAAATGACGCTGGTCTGAATAATAAGGATATTTTCAGGAAACGGCGAGCTGAGATTAGACTCATCTGTGGCCTTTCCTTCCCATCTGCGCCTCATCCACACGCTCACATCAAATCCATCTTGCTCAGTCAGCCCTGTCAGACGCATCAGTTATGAATATCAAATGATAACAAAGCACACACAGATCTTCATACACTGAAATGTGTGCGCACCAAGCAGATTTACACACCCAGATAAACACGCACACTTCTGTAGCACCATCTAATCTACAGGGCTGCAGAGTCCTGGCCACAGGCTTGAGACCGGGCTCTTAGTGCAGAGTCTGGACAGAGGAGGAAGAGGAGGGCAGGGGGAAGAACAGGAGACATGCAGACTGCGTAGAGGGAGGGAGCTTGTCTTTGGGAAATGGAAATCCTTTACAATCTAAAGTGGTTTCCTCTCCCTTCCTCCCTCCTCTGTGTCCTCTGTGGCCTCTGCCTCCCCCTGTGCTCCCACGCCGCTAACTAGAGAGCTGTCAGAGTATTTAGCATTGAGCTCGCTACAAAGCTCAGGACTTACACAGAAATACAGAACAGTGTGACTGCCTCTGCTAATAAAGTCACCAGTGACAAACAGGAATGTAAAAAAATGACATAATATTTCTACAATCGCTCAGATAAAACGTAATCAATACAGTTGTGGTATTTTTTAAAACCTACACTGTTTTTTAATCAACCTGACTGCCAAAGTGATTTTAAATTTTATTTTATGCATGCCTTTTATTTTATCATTGTTTATATTTAATTAACTGTTATTATTCTTTGTTTTATGTTGCACAATATTGCCAAAGCACATTCCTATTTTGTTTACTGACAATGGCAAAAAAACAACAACAATGTGATTTGGATTTCTGAAGTGTCAAACACATAACTAAATTTTGCTATTAGCCAATTAGATATTAAAAAGTGTAAAAGTACTTTGGCATATCTGTTATATAACCTAAAAGATCTTAATAATAGAAATCTTATTATCATTTGACACCATTGAAACTGTTGGAGGTGTATCCAGCAGGCTGTGAAGACTTATTTTAGTATCGTTGCCTTTGTTTGTGAACTTTTCCTGAACAGAGGTGGCTGTCTGCTGCTAAATCATCAATTTCAAAGACTCCGCTTCTTCCTCTTCTGTCAACTCCAGATTATTTTTACTATGGCCCCACCTCCCGGAGCCTCCTCACATCCATCCCTTCCTCTCCAGCAGAACTATGTGCCAATTTGTACTCTCTTAGTCACGCTAGGCACTTATCTTGTCCCTACTGAATGCCTCCGCAATCAAACCAACACTTATCCGGTTGTAAGGCATCCTAATGGCCGGCCGATAATGAAACTGCTCATTGTGAGTTAACAACTGGCTGATGTAGAGATGTATGCTAGCGACATCACAACAGAAATATAATGCTGATGAAGGCCACATGCTGCAGAAACTCCGGTGCAGCGGCAGCGTTTCTCTAGATTAAATAATGAGTCTACTTTTGTTGTGGATGTATGGCTTTTGCATTCAAGAACAGCCAGTGTGATGTTTAGTATTCATAAAAGCTCGGAAGTCTGGCACACAGCCCTGGTATCAGATCTATAGCACTGGCACCAATCGTACAATACACCTACCAGCTACTTTAACAAACATGAATACCCTTGTCGTCAGCCTGGACTCTGAATACAGATGGGAACAAAAATGCTGCATTTCTTTTACATTAAAAAGTGGATACAAAGGAGTAGTAAGCTGTGACTGAGAGGTTGTCCTATTAATTAACTGTTTGCAACACAGATTAGACTTCTATTCTGTAGTGATAATTATAATATGTTTTTTTTTTTTTTTTTTTTTGCTGCTCTCACAGAGCTGTCAGGGAAAGCATAAAACTAAAGCTAGGCACTTGAATCAAACTGAAACAACTGAACAGAGCACTTTCCCAAGACCACAGGGCAAAATTAGTAAATTCAAAATGAGATCTTTTCAATTTAACTGTACAAGGTTAACCTTAAGTCTAAAATTTGCAAATGGAGCTGAGAATTGGGCAGCCCATTCATAAGAACACATTAGAAATAAAAGCTCATGTTTGAAGCATTGGTTAACAAATGAGTGTGGGTGGAGTTTAACATCCCTCTTGACAAATACAGCATTGCACATATCACTTAAGCTCTTGTTTTCAGTAAGTGCTCACATCCTCTATCAGGCGCTTCAAAGAAATATTTGATGGAAGGACATTACATTTTATTATGCTAAACTGCAGCTCACTTGAGTGTGACTCAGTGTCTCAGTTTTGCATAAAGTGAGTTATACTGCATGTCACTTTGATTACATGATGTTTGGAGCAGTTCAAATGAGTTTTTTACAATACGGACAGTGCTGGGAAATGTGTACAAGTTTGGTTAATTTGTTGCTTCTAATATTACTCAGATAGTAGTAGTCATAATGTAAAATGACATAAGTAATAATTGCATATTGCTATTATACACATAAAACCTTTGGCTGGGTAAATGTAATATACATTTACAAGGATAAATAGCACTACTTACTGAAATATTGTACCATTCTTATTACATCAGGCCTCTACTCTTGAGGGAACATATTCATTGTTCAACATTCTAGAATACCTTTTTTATGGCTTTGTTTTCTCAAGTTCTAAACTGTATGATCTGCTTAAGCCCATCTCATATCCTGATTACACACTATGGCCTGCCTCCAAACAGCGCTGTGCACCTTTGAGCTGGGCTTTGGCAGAGGAGCAGTAATCACGCAGCACACCAGCTCTCTGTGCCTCTCCAAAAGCAGACGACTACAATCACATTGATTAGTGCTTTGTTCGGACCACTCCAACAATCAAACCGACCTCATCACCGCACACTTGAGTGGGCCCAGAGTCTATTCCAAACACATTGTTAGTGCTGTATGGTGTTCTCCATTTTGATTTGGTCAGTGACAACAATGCCGGCGTCTTGATTTGAAAAGCTGTTTTACGCTGAGTGTCATTAGGCAGTGATGCTGATATCATTGTCGAAAATGGCTGGAACTAAATTAAGGGACTTGAGTGAATGACTTGAGAGGTTTTGAAGTCTCTTGTTTCACATAACTGCACATACTCAATAGCAAACACATGGTAAAGGCACACTGGACAATCAAATCTAACTCATTTGTTTTCATTTCACGTCAGTTGAAAAGAGCTCTATGCCATTGTGAACCACATTGTGGATAAATTACTGCAATTAGGCAATGCCAAAAAGAGGAAGTGATTCATAACAAGAAAACCACTCCCCATATCGAGCTAATTGGGCATCCATTAGACTGCCATGTTCAATCCACTCCACAATGATATCTTACAAACTCAAACTTTCTGGACCCTGAATCAAATCAAGAGTTTGTGAAGTGAGAAACTTGAACTGCTTCGAAAGTTTGTAGAAGTTCACTCACCTTTGCACTGATTTGTGTTCTTGTCGAGGATGGCCTTTGTTGATACAATCTTCCCATATCTGCAAAAATCAAGAAAGTGTGTTTATCACATTTGTATAAATAAAGTACATAGATTTGAATTCATTTATTTATGCAGAAAAAACAAACAAACAAAAAAACCCACTTTTATTTAAATATATTTTAAGTTTTTAAATCAAACCCAGGCAGGAGTAGACAGTGATTTTTAGATCCCGATTTGACCTAGTATCCCAAATGAACTGATCCTGTGGATGATTCACACACAAACCCCAATAAGCCTAGTAATAAGCCTGCATAAGAGGATTTGTACGATGTTTAATGGTAATGTTATGATAATTATATGTTAATAATATGTTTAACTCATGAGCACGTCTGAAATATATTTGTATAATGCCAGGCAAATCAAATCTGGAGAAAAAAAAAAAGACCTAATTCAACCCCATGGGACCAGCGGTGTATTTTTGTTCCCACACCTATATACAGAGTTAATTGCATCTGAGAATATGGCAAAAAATAACTACACCAATCACTTCACGCTAGGAGGCAAGACAAAAATAAGAACTAAGATGAGTTTAAGCCGGTAGACTTCCCCTCTAACACTAAAAGAGTTTCTTACAGTTTCCTATCAGCACCTCTATCCATCGTGTCCTTATCTGTCCCATATCAGATCCCACCCTCAGGCTTATGCCCACAGACACTGCTGTATCTCATAACCTGCAATTTAACCAATCATCTGTGAGCGAGCCGATCCACAGAGTCAGACAGCTCCCATATATCTCTCCATCTGCCTGCCATTCATTCCTCCCATAGCTCAGCGCGTTTCTTCTTAGTGACATCTCTGCTTCGGTCTTTGTCTTCCTTTATTCCGCTCCCAATCCCACTTCTATTCTGCCGCAGCGCTCTGTTCTCTCAAAGAAGAAGTTAATAATGTTTCTTATCAGCGTTGTCTTTGAGTCCACCCAGATAGAGGGGTTCTGAGGGGGACTGGGTGAGACAAGGTAGAGACGAGAAGAGAAGGGGATAGAAAGGAGGGAGAGAAAGTGACTAGATCATCACCTGGTGCCACAGATGAGACTTTTTAATTAATGTTTTAGCAGTGGCACAATGGCGGGGTTTAGAGCTGTGACGATCAGGTGGAGTGACAGGCTGACAGGCTGACTGACTTGCCATCGACCCCAGGTGCACAGTGGAAGTGGCTTGGTGAAAAACAGGAGACAGGAGTGATTGAGAAATCAGGCAACGATACAGTCAGCGACGTTTTTATAGAAAAGGGGACAAAAGGTTGCATGAACTGGGCTGAACTGTTATTCACATTTGCCTCATGTAAATGATAATGTTATTGGAGTGTTTAAAGGTGCACTATGTAACTTTTCTGGAAGACAGTTCACTACATGAAATGTTATTTCTGTGCCTTGAGTATGGCATTAAAGTTATCAATATGCATGCAGACAAGCAGGTAATACCACCAACCCAAGTGACACCGAAGCTCTAATAAAGACTTTTATTTTTGTAATCAGTGTGCCTTTGACATTTTATCCAAGCCATATTAGGATACTGTGATTTTAATGAACTACATTGTCATTACCATTTCTAAATTGTAATTAAAAAGGTTATAATGAAAAGCAATAATTATTGTAACAAAATCATAAATGGAAATTTGGAGCAATGAAAGAGAAGAGACATTTGTCAAAGCCGATTCTGTATGTAAAAGAATGTAAAAGATACATTACTGTCTGTCCACAGTGTTGGACCCTACCTTCTAGGTCAGGGGTATTGAGCTCTTTTTACTTTGCCACAAAACCCTAACTGAGAAATATAAACATACATAATCAAATTAACAAATAAATTAACACTTAACAAAGTTCACTGGAGCATACCGCCCACCAAAGCTAACCAGTTTTTTGATAAATAATGTCCATAACAAGGTTTTAACTTAAAACTAGAACTTTGGCCTGATTTTAAATAATTTAACAGTTTATAAAGTTTCATATACTTATACAATGAGTTTATGAGCAGTTATGAAAATAAAATTAGGTGACAATCAGCTTTGCCTGTTTCATATTAAAAAGTTAAAAAGAAAATGTATCCATCCCTTTAGCTAGAAGAGGCCAGTTCGGACGCATGAGGAATAGAGCAGAAGGGGGAGAGCTGTAAGTCAGGAGATAAAAGGCGGTGCAGGGGGAGGCAGCGCTGTGGAGTGAAGCGATGTAGAGATAGTAAAGAGGTGTTTAATAAAGAACAGATCATTTAGTTGTCACCATCAGACAGTGTGAGTGTCAGAGCGGCCATGATGACAGACACACATCAGGATCCACAGGGACACCAGGCTTCAGGAGTACAGAACAATCGTCCTTAAAAGGCTCCTATCTCGCACTAGACGACAGACGAGCGGCTTATGATCGGCAAATCACGGTGTTAGCAAACCAACAATCAAACAACTGTTCATTTTTAAGGCTTTGTTGATATTTTTAGCACGCTGGAAAAATTACACATTGTGACAAGGTGTAATAAGAGCTGGTGTTTTTAGCTGCTGGCAGGATTATAATCATAAAATACTTAATGTGCTCAATTTACAACTGCACTAAAAATCTGCCCACTAAATTTTAGGTAAACTGACACTTTAAGATTGTATATCATAAACATACAGTATGTAAACTAAAAAATCTAACGCAAGACTATAGTACAGCAAGGGGTAAAAATAGTGAAAATTATCAGCTTAATATTTTTCTTTCGGTATTACTTTCAATAATGTGAGATGTTTCAAAATTGTTTTGTCGATGATATATTACCCATCTTTATGCAACCAATACATTTCAACATTTTGTTCCAAATCCAACAATATTTTATATAAATGCATACTGTGAGTCTCACTGGTGGGCCCTGCTGTGAAGCCAACCTATAAGTGGAACCAACTTTCCACAGCCATAAATTCTCCACAGACAATGGTGCTCAGCACAGACAGTGGATGGAAACAACCAACTACAAAGTAATGTAACATGGTACAGTAAATCTGTCATGTACATGGTATAGTAAATCTGTCACTTAGCCTGAACAATAACTTTTCAACAAAAGGAAATACAAAGCATCTAACTCTTGTGTGGTTTAAATCATTGGCTTTAAATCATGGCAAATCAAATCTACATACAAAACATGTGCAATAACCATGCGGAATAGTGGTGGCAGTGGCTCAGTGGTTAAGAGTGGTCCCCAACCTGAAGGTCAGTGGATCAGTTCTCACATGGACCAAGTTCTGTCGTTCTATACTTGGGCAAGACACTTAACCCATTAGTCTAAATGATTGGTGGGTTGATGGCGCAAATGTACAGCCTCACTTCCATCATTCTGCCCCAGGGCAGCTGTGGTTACAGTTTACCATCACTGTGTATGAAATGAATGACTACAGTGTAGTGCTGTGAGAGGCTTTGACAAGCACATTACAAGTGTAAGGCGTTATTATTATTATTAAATAATTATTGGAAGCATAGGGCTGTTATTTTGAGAATATCTCAGACATAAGGCAATTGTGATAAGGTCAAACAACATATAAAACTTTATAGGGGTAAGGAAAGGTGAAAGAAAAGTGTCATTATAGATACGCTGTGTAGTAAATAAATCAGAGGGCATTGTGCGTGCCGCCACTATGGGCCAACCTGACTCATGCTTCATAAAACAGGACTAGTCTGGCTATAGGTCTCAACCTGAGACAATTCCATAATAAACTCACTTCTGTACAGTCATATAAAATACTATTGACAATGCACGCTTTCTGGTCTGTAGTCTGGCACAGCAGGTCCCGGGCTCAGTATGCCCTAGTAGACGCCTGATGACGGAGGAGAAAACCTGAAAAATGTCAGCTCTAATGGCCCACACAGACTGTATATCCAGACACACAAACAAGGCAAGAGCAGATCAAAAACACCAAAGCAACACACGTTACTCACACCATCTGGCAATATCTGGCTTTCTGTTGACACGTACTGCTGTGTGTCTCCGCCTGTCATGTGTGCGTGTCTCAAGAAGTGCGTACTTTGTGTAGGAGTGATTACTTACAAGTGTGTGCATGTGTGTGCTGTGTGCAAACAAAGCTCTCCAGGACCAGTCGAGTTTGGCAGTTTGTTTTGTCACTGGAAATCAAACTCGTGTTCATGTGTGTGTGTGTTTGTATGTGTGTGCGTCATTCAGGGGTCTGGAGGTGGCGTTAGATCAATGCTTAGGCCTTGAAATAAAGAACACGATGTAATCAAAAGGCTGATTTATCTCAAAGGTAAAGGAATATTTTAGTGAGTTAGTGAGCTAATGTGGCAAAGAAATTGTAACTGGTATTTATAAAAGTCTGGATGGAGTGTCTCATTTGTCTAACACAGGTAAATAGCATTATGAAATTAAGTTATATAGCACACAAAAAGACAGTGCAACATTCATTCACTCCACACTCAGTGGTGTTAAACCATTAATGTAGTCACAGCTGCCCAGGGGCAGACTGAAGGAAGCAAAGCAGCCACCAACACCAATCATGCACACACATATCACTTTCATACTGGGCAATATGGGTGAAATGGTTGCCTAAGGACACAACAACAATTTGTCTGTGATACCTGGAAGCAGTCTCCCATCCAAGTACTAATCAGGACCAACCTCCCTTCTGACCAGATCAGCCTTTCACAAGCTGGTATGGCCACCTAAATGTAAATCATAAACAACTAGACTGTCATAAAAGTTAGAAAAAGAGCCATCATCTGACCGTGAAGCTTTTTTGTGCTCTATATCACCCCGTCTTCCTATGTGACAGCCGTACAATATCATCCAACCCGACCTCACATGCTGATCCCCCACAACGAAATACTCTGAAATGCCCTAGTAGAAAAAAGAATGGCAGAGGAGAGAGCAACAGAGACGAGTGAAATTGACAGTATTTCCCAGACTGTCAGTGTTTGACAAGAAATGTCAATATGAAACTCGGCACAGAGCGATGTTTTGGCAGAGTCGACACAATCTCTGCGTGTGTGTATGTTTGTGTGTGTGTTAATGACAGATCTCAGAG